TGACGTCACACTTACGGAGAAATCGTACCTAAGTGTGACGTCACGCGTCATTTTAACTCAAAATATCTACATGTTTTTTTGGATACGAGAAAAAAGAAAAAATACGTATCGAAGATTTTTAAAATATCTAAAAGACGGACAAAAAATTAAAAAATAGTCGCCATGCCTATTGCGAGTCAGTGGATGAGATTAGCAACAGGTTCGTAAAAACTGTCCACGCAATGGGGTCGAAGTTTTTCAGACCCCGCCGAAAAGACAGACCGCCAGATTGCACCCTCAAACTCAAGGCAGAACGACGTGCTATGGCGCTCCAGACCTCCGCCGATGCTAAAGCACTTCGGCGTCTTCGGCAGCTCAAAAGACAGATATGTAAGTCCTTACGACACGATATCCGTAACTTTAACGCCAATAGGGTTAAAGAAGCAATAGAGCGGAACCAAGGCTCTAAAGTGTTCGCAAGGGACACGTCTATTTGGCAAAGCCAGCTGATGAAGCTGAACGCGGAGGATGATAGTGTGGCGTCGACGAAAGCCAAAGTTTTGTGGGAGATCAAGAGGTTTTATGGTCAGCTATACGCATCGGTCACTAAATCTGTTAGCTCAGTCGCATATCCAAGAGCTAAGCTCACCCGACGCTATATCGAGGATATCCCGGACGATACCCTATACGATTAGAATAGCCCTCAAGCAGCTAAGAACAACAAGTCATCGGGCGAGGACGGAATCACATCAGAGCTTCTGAAAGCGGGCGGAACACTGATTCTGAGAGCCCTTCAGAGGCTCTTCAACTCCGTCATATTCGAAGTGGTAACGTCGGCGGCATGCAGCAGAAGTGTGGTGGTGCTGTTCTTCAAAAAGGGAGAAGATTCCACACACTCTACTGAAAAATTAAAGACCCATCTCACCTCACTTCTGAGCCATTTTTTATGGCATAAAGGTTGTAATAATATACCCAGTAGCTTCCAGTACTCAGATAAGCTTTTAACTTCTGGCGAGTCAATATGTAACGCGTTTTCTGAGTATTTTCTGTTAACTTTCCTGGATCAGTCATTCGATTCTAGTAACCCCTCACCGGTACCATATCACTCACGGTAGCAGATCATCTGCTACCCCGTGAGTGACATTACTTCTGCCAGACATAGGAAGACTTTTATCGGGGCTGGATCCATGTAAATCTGTTGGTCCAGACAATGTCACATCCATATTTCTTATCACGACTAGTGATAGTATAGCCTTACCTGTGTTTCTCTTATTTGAAAAATCTCTGTCTTGCTGTCGGGTGCCTCATATTTAGAAATGTTCGTTTATTACACCTGTTCATAAAAAAAGGCTCCAAAACTGATATAGTGAACTATAGACCAATATCTAAACTGTGTATCATTTCTAAAATTTTCGAAAAAGTCGTATACACCTAGGTTTATTCTGCAATTAAACAATCCCTCAATTGAGCCAACATGGATTTGTGAAGGGTCGTTCTACAAATTCTAACCTAATTATATTTAACGACTATCGATTCCAGTCCATGGATGCAGGCTTCCAGGTCGACGTGGTCTATACTGAATACAGTAAATGTTTTGCTGCTACATAAGCTACAAAAAATCGGTATAAGGGGTGATTTACTTAGATGGTTCTCTTCGTACATTTATAAGAGATCTCAGGCTGTCGTTATCAATAACTATTCTGGCTGGATTACTATATCGAGCGGTGTTCCACAGGGCTCTGTGATTGGTCCGTTGCTATTTTTGATTTTTGTGAATGACATTGTCGATTGCTTCCACCATAGTTATTTGTTTTGCTGACGACATGAAAATTTACACAACGATCAGATCAGAGGCGGATGCAAGACGCCTTCAGGAAGATCTTGGTGGACTGGATGGGTATTGTTTAAAAAACAAATTAGATCTTAATTCGGTAAAATTGTTTGTGGTAACCATTAGTCGAAAGAAAAACCTGTTCACATTTCACGGCAGACTTGGGACATGAACATATCCATCAGTACCTAGTAATAAAATAAAAATCTGTACAAGCATGAAATAAAGTTTTTTTCTTTGATATTGAAATATATTGAGTAGCATTTCAGGATCAGGGCGTCAGGTCGTACCTGTCGAGTAGCATGGTGAACCCGACGTAGGCCTGCTCGAAGGCCCCGCGGTGCTGCGTGCGGCCCAGCAGCGCGGTGTAGTGCTCCCCGATGGCCCGGACCTGGCCGGCGGTCACTGACCCCGCGCCCGCCACGGACTCCTCGCGGATACTCAGCCGAGCGCATATCTCGCCCAGTAGGAGCGACACCTGGTCGAAACGAACATGACTTTTATGGTAGAAGGCGATAAACCAGCAGATGAATCACCTGATGGTAAACAATCGCGGAGTCGCCCATGAATACCCGCAACACCGGAGGAATTACAAGATCATTGAGAATATGAGGATTAGGGATTGGGAACTATACCCTATTCCCTTTTCTCTGTCCTGAATCGCCCCGTTATGCCTCTGCTGTCTTAGGTAGCACTGATTGTTTATCATCAGGTGATTCACTTTTATGATCCACACATGGAGATGGGATTATGACAGCTTCAGTAATGTTATAGACACGTAACATGGTGTTATTATATACAATGTGTAACAAAAAGAAGATGTAGATGTTGCCGCCAGTGATATGAAAGGAAAAGTAATCTTATATTATTATTTAAAGCTAAAAAGTTTGTTTGTTTATTTGAACGCGCTAATCTTAGGAACTGGTCAGATTTTTTTTTGCATTGTATAAAACATCACGCTACGATATTGTGCAATATTTACCTGAATCTCTAAAAGTGTTAGCATAAAACTAATGTAATATCTTGACTTGAGCACCTGCGTATTCTAATCTTTATTCTGTTGTACCTAGCATACTTAGTAGTACAAGTCGTCAGTCTACAAACCTCTTTGACGGAGCGCCAGGCACACAGGAGTACCATCTGCGCCGTCACCTGCCTGCCGTCCTCCAGCGTCACGTTACTGCGGCATAACACTCACTATGTACTTACATACTATCACAGTATTAGAACATTCAAACATTTCAAAATTCTATATTTACAAGGGTAAACTTAAACTTTACTTGATTCTTTAAACTGCTATCAAAGGCACAGGTGACACAGATCTAATAAAAAATTCGCGAATATAACCCGCCCCCCTACGACAAAATCTTGCCATATTTATATTAAAACTTTTGTGAAACACACTAAATTAATAATTATGTTTCTGGCTTACTCACATAACTGTTTGACGAGAAGCATTCATGAGCAGCACTCCGCGACTGTCGCGCTGCTAGCATGGCTTGGAACTAGCTGAGTTCCTTGTTAGACAGTAACGTGAGCAAGCCGAAAACATAATAATTAAAATCTTGCCATGTTTAGTGTCGGTATAATACTAGTATTAATCTATACTAAAACATAAAGCTGAAGAGTTTGTTTGACCATCTCTTTGAACACTGATCTTTGAAACTACTGGATCGATAAAAAGAAACATTTGTGGTGGATAGTCCATTTATCGAGAATGGTTTTAGGCTATCAAATTTCACGCTAGGATTAATAGGAGCCAAGCAGCGAGAGAAACAGCAGGAGTACATAGTAATAAATATGCTAGTTACCCAGAGTTGCCATAGTCAGTGATCTGCACGGTCATGTCCATGGGCAGGTGTCCCTCGGGCGACGAGTTGTTCACTACACTGGCGACGGCCGCGCTCACCTCCATACAAGTCTCTATTATTTCTGATATCAACGCCGTCCATTTCTCGTCCCGAGAGATCGACCTGGATGGACAAATTCATAATTTTGTATTTGGTTTTATTAATTTTAAAGGGTAGGAGAGAGGTTTCTAAAATTTAGGTGACGTTTGTTAAAATGGGCATAGATATAGTACTTACTCAGGGTCCACGTTCCCCAGCACAGCCCTGAGACAGTGCAGGACCCCGTACATGGGCGCGGCGGCGGCGCATAGATATAGTACTTACTCAGGGTCCACGTTCCCCAGCACAGCCCTGAGACAGTGCAGGACCCCGTACATGGGCGCGGCGGCGGCGCATAGATATAGTACTTACTCAGGGTCCACGTTCCCCAGCACAGCCCTGAGACAGTGCAGGACCCCGTACATGGGCGCGGCGGCGGCGCATAGATATAGTACTTACTCAGGGTCCACGTTCCCCAGCACAGCCCTGAGACAGTGCAGGACCCCGTACATGGGCGCGGCGGCGGCGCATAGATATAGTACTTACTCAGGGTCCACGTTCCCCAGCACAGCCCTGAGACAGTGCAGGACCCCGTACATGGGCGCGGCGGCGGCGCATAGATATAGTACTTACTCAGGGTCCACGTTCCCCAGCACAGCCCTGAGACAGTGCAGGACCCCGTACATGGGCGTGGCGGCGGCGCATAGATATAGTACTTACTCAGGGTCCACGTTCCCCAGCACAGCCCTGAGACAGTGCAGGACCCCGTACATGGGCG